GCCAGAAAAACCCCCTCAGGCCCAGAGCAGGTGTTGGCAGTCGGCAGCCTCCTGCATCCAGAGACAAGTGCCGAGAGACGTGGGCAGGGTGCCAGCGCCTACTGCACTCTGCCCTCCAGCTTCTTCCTGCACTTCTGCCTTTTTATGAACCTCATGGACTCATCTGTGTCCCACTGTCCCCTCTCAGAAACCCTTGGCATTCTCAAGGCTGAGACCCACTGCCCCTTTGTTCTGCCTCCTCTTGGATAAGCCCACCCACTCTCCTGGTGAGTTGAGGCTCCCAGTACCATCCCTGTTTCAGATTTTGATCCTATGCCCATGTCTGCGGGTCTCCGGTGACAGCATATAGACATGTCCCCAGTCCAATCATCCTTATCTAAAGCATGCCCCGCCTCTTCGTTCTCTTCCCATTGGTGGTACCGTATCTACCCAGTCCTTCTAGAATCTGGAATCATTCCTTGATTCTCCCTGTCTTCCAAACTGCTTCCCAGGGTCATCCCCTCTTCTTCACCCACCCCTCCCCCTGCCATTGGTCGGGACTCTCATTATTTTCTACCTGATGTATTCCTGGGGCCTATGAACTGAGGTCCCCACTTTTGGCCTGATGCCCTCCCAGTGCCCCCATCTAGTGTCTTCTCCACAGAGGTCCCAAGTGCCAACCTCTAGCAACACTTGGGCTTAGCATCTAGGAGCCTGTGGGTTTAATCCCCAGCATCATAAAGTAAAGTGACAACCTGGACTTGTCATGCTCTGTCCAAGACCCATTCCAGATCCAAGCACCTTGGCCTGGTGCACAGAGCAAAAGCTACCCTTTCTTGAACCTCTGATTCATCCCTGGCCACTCTCAGCTCTGCCTCCTGGGACTTGTGGTGTGTGCTGTGCTCTTTCAGGCAGCTGGGCTTCCTCTCATGCCCTGCCTGTGCTTGGTGTCCCTTTTCTTCCATTTGTTTTTGCTGCTCATGCTAAGACCCAGCTCAGATGGCGCCTCCTCTTGGAAGTCTTCCCTGAATGCCTCAGGCTGGATTAGACACCCTTCTTTTGTGCTCTTATATCAGTGCAAGCATCAGAAAATCCACTTCAAACAGGCTTAAATAACAATGGAAATTGATTGGCTCCTGGAACTGAAAAATCAAGGGGTAGGGCTTGCTGCAGATGATGTGTGATCCAGGGGCTTAAAACGATGCCCCTGGGTCCTCCCATTGCTTAGCTCTGCCTTTCTCTGGGTGGGCTTCCTTCTCAGAGTCCTTGGAGGGCATCGCATCACTTCAGACTCACATCTTGCCCAATCCAATGCAGTGAGTCATTCAAGGAAACACGGGCTCCTCTGGATCTCACTTAGGATTTACTTGCCCCTTTCCACACCGATCAAAATGGCCGAAGGCTTACAGCGTTCTGCTCCAGGGGTTGGCAAACTATGGCTGAATCCTGCCTAGCGCTTGTTTCTGTAAATAAAGTTGTGTTGTAACACAGCCACGCCCATTTGTTTATGCATAGTTCCAGGCTATTTTTATGCCAGTGCCAGAGTTGAAGAGTAGGGGCAGAGGACAGCAGGCTTGCTGCTCAGAGACAGTAAATATTTCAGGTGTTGAGGACAAGGTACAAAATGAAGGGGGATTGAGAGAGAGAGAGAGAGAGAACAAATTTCCATGTCATTTTTATTGATGAAATTACAATAATAATTGAATACAGCATATATATGTCTGCTAATGAGAAGAATGGAATTTAGGGCAAAGAGGTAACATTTTACTTAATTGGGGTTAAAATCAATGCTCCCTATCATCAGATTGATGACAAATAATTATCTATTAAAACCATTCTTGCTGGTCATGATGTAACTCAGTAGTAGAGCACCTGCCTAGCATGAGAAAAAACACTAGGTGGGATCCTCAGCACCGGCCAAAACAAAACAATAAAACAATCATATAGTCTGAAATACAAAAGCAGGCAGGATTTGGTCTGCAGGCCATAGTTCACAGACCCCTGAATTAAATCAAACTATTATAGGAATCAAACCCCAGGGAGGAAGCTATGGAGCTGGAAAAGACAATGACAATCCACTCTGGTGGTAGAGGCGAGATAGATGCCACAGTCTTAGTGAATGGGGTTATCTTTGTGATGTGCTGTTGACAGATTCAGGGTATGGCAGGCATTTTATTTTATTTTTATTTTTATTAATAAATAAAATTATTTATTTTATTATTCGAGCTGGAGCTTGAACCCATGGTGCTCTACCATGGAGCTACATCCCTAGCCACTTTGAGTCACTGAGTGTGGCAGGCATTTTAAAAGGTATTTCTTTATAAGACAAGTTCATGTCCATTTGGCCCCTTCATCCTGACAATATCCCTATATGTAGGCAGGGTAAGGGTGGCTGTGTTCTTTTCAGAAGGAAAACAGAAGCTCAGGGAGAAGTGACTTGTCCAAGGTTTCATGGCAAGGTTTCTCTGGGACACCTTTGAATATTCTAAGGCATCGGTCTCATAAAACATGCCTTGTTGGTTCACTGAACAGGTGTGATGGCCCCTGGCTGGGGGCGCAGAGGCAGAGAGAGAGATCCAGGCTGGTTGGATAATGGCTTGGGAGGCTACTTCTCCAGATGGCTATGTGTCACCGGTGGTCTACAGGGATGAGTCTGGTCGACACAGCTGCTCAAGAGCTCACTGTTGCTTCAAGAATCTCTGGCTGGGCTGGGGCTGGGGCTCAGCAGTAGCACACTTGCCTGGCATGTGTGAGGCACTGGGTTTGATTCTTAGCGCCACATATAAATAAATAAAATAAAGCTCTATCAACAACTATCTATCTATCTATCTATCATCTATCTATCTATTTATCTATCTATCTATCTGAATCTTTGGCTGGGCTGGGGTTGTGGCTCAGTGGTTGCCTGGCGTGTGTGAGGCACTGGGTTCGATTCTCAACACTGCATATAAATAAATAAAATAAAGGTCCATTGGTAACTAAAAAGTATTTTTAAAAAAATTTCTGGCTGGGCATACTGGTACAGTCCTGTAACCCTAGCTACTCATGAGACTGAGACAGGAGGATCACAAATTTGAGGCCAGCCTCAGAACTTATTTATCTTTAGAACCCTGTCTAAAGATAAATAAATAGGGCCAGAGATGTAGTTCAGTGGTAGAATGCCCATGAGTTCAATCCCAGTAACAAAAAGAAAAGAAGAATCTTAGCACCTAGGCCTGCCTCTCCTGCTCGTAACTGCCCCATGCAGGACAGGTAATACCAGCACAGCAGCCTAGAGCTACAAGGAAACCAGGCTTTAGGCAAGAATGCCCAGAACCACACATAAAGACTCTGACCCCTCACCTTGCTGCCTCCAGACTGCAGGCCTGGCCTCATCTGGACCTCTGAGGAACATTCCTGGGTCCTGTTGGCCAGGCTGGGGGCAGAGCTTCCCTGGCCTCCGACAGGGCTGCCCAAGGTCAGAGAAGAACTCTGGGGATGGGCAGAGGCACACAGACATGGAGGATGGATGCCGGGTTCCCCTCCAGGATGGTGAGCACGTGTGTGCACATTCACACATTCCCCGTCTCGCACGCATATTCGTACACTCCCATGGTCACACCTATCTTCACTAGGATTCTCACCTACACACACATGCATGCTCCATGGTTTCTCAAACTTATTTGCACCCCGAAACTCACACAACATGTTCATCCGCACCTGCGTTCATTTCCTGGGGTTGCTCTAACAAAGTACCACATACAGGGTAGCATCAGACAACAGACACTGTCTTACGGTTTTGGAGGCTAGGAATTCAAGTTCAAGGTTTCTCCTGAGACCTGTAGGGGAGGATCTTTTCTCTTCCAGCTTCCGGTAGCCCCAGGGGCTCCTTGGCTTCCAATCTTTCCCAGTGTTCTCTAGTCACCTCTGTGTCTTCACATGAACATTTTTTTTTCTTTTCTTTTTTCACTTTGAGACAGTGTTTTGCTAAGTTGGCCAGGCTGGCCTCGATCCTTCGACCCTCCTGCCTCAGCCTCTCCAGTAGCTGGGATTACAGTCGTGCGCCACAGCCCCAGGCGCTTAAGGACGTCTTATAAGCACACCAGTCCTCCTGTATCTGGGCCACACTACTGCAGTACCAACTCCTAACCAATGACATCTGCTTGTTCCTTTTCCCAAATAAGATTGTATTCTGAGGTGCTGGGCAATAGGACTTCATTTTTTAAAAAAATTTTTTGGGGAGGGAATGAAATTCAACCCTGTGGTTAAATTGGTCATGAAACCTCACATGCACAATACAGTATTCCCACAGTGATGCCCATCTACAAACTTCCACATTCCCATAAGCACAAGCTCACACTTACCCAGAGATGCTACCAGGATCACCCACGCCCAATCCCAAAGTCTCCTAGTCTTACACACAGCCCTGCATGAGCCCCTAGGCTCCCCGCCCCCTGCGTCCCTGTGGCCACACTCAGAGGCCACCCCGGGGAGGTCATGCTCACAGCCCTGCACATTTGCAGTCTCACACTTGGCTCAGTCTCACATCCCCTCCCACCCACACACTCTCTCCTCCCTGACTCCTCCTCCAGCAAACAGATCCCCCAACCCACCCTCACCCTGGGCCCAGCTGGGCCACCCCAGGAAGGTCTCCTAGCCCTCTGGAATGGGGTGCCCCCCCACAAGCCTTCCTCCTTCACAGACTCCCACTCTCCCATCTCAGGGGCAGACAGACAGACAGACAGACACTCTGTCACACTCGCACACGCCCCTCAGCAGCCCCACGGCAGCAGTCTGTTCCTCATTATGGGCCAATGCGCCTGTTTACTCACCCAGCTGGAGATGGTTAGAGAGTGATAAATAATGAAAGAGAAAACAGGCTTTTCCCCTCTGCGGCTTCTATTTATGTAACATGTGTCACAGCGCACTCACAGACTTTGTTTCGGAGCTGGTTGCAGGAAATAGTTTATTTTTTCCGGACGGTGGCTTGAGGGGTGGGGTAGGGGGGCCAGGGTTTGGGTTTCTGGTCTCACGCCCATGGGAGTTTCGGGATCTGGGCTCCCAGCGTCCTCCTCCTCTGGTGCCGCCTCCCCTGATACCCCCGGGGGCAGACATCATGGCTGGAGGCGGCCAAAGAACGGGGTTCTCCCACTCTACCAATTTGGAAGGAACTGGGATGGCTGGGGCCCCTCCCAGCTGCCTCTGAAACCTCCCAAACAGATGGGCTTGTTTTAAGAGCCAGACAGCTTGAAGCTAGGACTCCCTGAGAGGAGGCAGTTGGACAAGGGGCTTCCTAGGTAGCCTGCACCTGTTACGGGGGAGAGGATGCAGAAGGATCCGTTCTATAAAATAAGAATTAAAACAAAATCCACTCCTCGTGCTCACGGACCACTCTTCCATCTGTGGTCTCTGAAGCCTCAGGACATTTACTGGCTGCTTCTCAGGTGAGGTGACGGGTGGTGAGGGGGGCTGGCCGTGGGCTGCTCAGCTGCTTGATGGGAAGCCAGGACTCAGGCCTCAGCCGCCAGAACCCTCACATAACCGCTGCCTCCCTCCTCCAGGGACACCTCCCTGGTGAGGGTCCAGCGTCACTCATGCTAAGGCTGGTGGGAGTGGGTTATAAGGGTGTAGGGGGTAGAATGGGGGGAATGGGGGACATTAGAAATCTGAGAAGTGCTTCCTGCCCACTCCCCAAATACTGAGTGGAGCATCCTGCATAACAAACCAGGGAAGGAGGAAGTGACAGAAAGCTCCTCTGGTTACCACCCCCAGGGCAGGAAAGCTTTGGGGCATTTGGAGGAATTGTACTCTCTCTTGGGTTTGTCTATGAACGGGCAGGAAGATGATATCTTCATTTGACACGGAGCCCCACTGTTCCCCCAGGCCACTGCTGGGGGAACCCAGAAGTACCAGAAACTACCCTGTTTTCTGCAGATTCCACTGTGGAAAATGGAACTGGGAGCCCCAACTCCTACCAACTGTTGGGGAGGGGTAACAGGGGCAGGGGCAGAATCCTGCTCAGTAGCTTCTGCAGGGGTATCCCACAGGGATCTCCTGGATTGGGGAAGGAACGGCCACATTCCCAAGACAAGGACTTTTAACATTAATTTAAGAGCTGATAGCACTGGTCTAGTGCAAAAGAGACAAAGCCCAAGAAGATCCTTTTCAAATTTAATGCATGTCAGATACAGAGAGAGCTTCTCAGAGGCTGATCCCCAGGCTCCCTCTCCCAGGGTGGTGATTCAGCAGGTGGGGGTGTCTAGGATAATCATCCTGGTGAACAAGTTCCTGGGAATTGGGAGTTCTGGGACTGGTCATTTCCCAAAGACTTGGAGACAACAGTGTCCTAAGTGGGCCCTGGAGGCAGCCACCCCCCACCACTCGCTTCCACCCGCCAACATCACCGCACATAAGCTGAGATAGAGGCACATCCATCACAGAAGCTGATCAGAAGGGCATTTGACTTCCCTCAGTGTGGAAGCAGTCTGATCAGAAGAAGGATAAAACTGGTTTAGAAGGAAGAAGGGAGGGAAGGAAATAGAATTTGTCAGCACCTAGTAGGTACCATTTTTACCTGGCTGCTTTTTAATTTTTGCCATTCGTACCCATTTCTGGAATCTAAAACACTCAAACATTCTATTTCTTATTACCAAGTAATGCTCGCAGGCATGCGTACCTCATCAGAGAGACAACAGGCGGGTTCTGTGTATCTTAAAGCATTTGCTCTGTGCCTGGGATGTGCCAGGACTTTACACATGTTGCTTGATGTTTGCCACATTGTAACACTGATGGCAATGCTATCCCCGGTTTACTAATGAGAACACAAAGCTCAGAGAGGTTTAGTGACTTAAAAAAATTTTTTTTATATTTGTAGATGGACAGAAAGCCTTTATTTTATTTATTTTTATGTGGTGCTGAGGATCAAACCCAGTGCCTTATACATGCTAGGCAAGCGCTCTACCCCTGAGCCCCAGCCCCAGCTGCAGCCTGTGTTAGTGATTTTTATAAGGCCACCCCGCTATGCAAGTCTTGGCAACGGGAAAAGCTGGTGTTTTAATTTTTTTGGTACTCCCCAGTAATTGAACTCAGGGTGCTTTACCACCAAGCTACATCCCCAGTCCTTTTTATTATTATTATTATTTTTTTTTATTTTGAGACAGTCTCGCTAAGTTGCCCAGGCTGGCTTGGAACGTGTGATCCTCCTGTCTCAGCCTCCTGAGTAGCTAAGGTTACAGGCGTGCCCCATCCCTCCCAGCACTCAGCACTCTGTTTACTGCCGCAAGCAGGAGCCCCTTTGGGATTCTGAGAGTCAGCATCCAGATCCTGATTTTCAGCTCTTTCCCCAGGACTCCGTCTCTGCCACTCTGTGGAATGGAGAGGTTGGTGGGGAGGCAACCTCTCTGCTGCTCCCCAGCATCTCTGTGGTTTGGGTCCCTATGGACTCTCGCAAAGCCCACCCAGCACACACCTTGAGCTCTCTCCCAGGGAGCTGAGCATTGGGGGTCTTGGGGACCACCTTTGGATTCAATCCCTAGAGCACTCGTGGATCTGAGGAGGTCCCAGGAGGGCAGGGCCATGTGAGCCAGCTTAAGGAGCACCCCACCTGCATGTCCAAGAGCCTCCTGCACCCCTGTTCCTTTGGCAGGTTGGGGATGGCATGAGCTAGTGGGAGGGAGAAGGGCCAATGGCGACAGCCAGAGTCTGGACATTAGTTCAGGCTACGGGCTAAACATGATTCAAACAGGGACTCACAGCAGCTTCACAGGGACTTCGTGCAGACCCCCATGGACACTGGCCTGCACTTCCTCATGCTCTTGTGTACCCCCTGCACAGAATCCCATTCACGAAAACCCTGACAGAGCTCCAGACTCTTGTGTCCCTGTGGACAGAGCCCAGGTGTTCTGCACACCTTGTCTGTCTCTAACCTTCACACTGACCCTGCAAGGAAGCTGCTGTCCTGACCCTACCAGCCTCACAGAGGAGAGAAAAGGGGCTCAGAAAAGCCAAGTGACTGGCTGCCTTTCCTGTGTCTCCCCTAGCACCCAGCAGGGGTTCAGAAGTCCACCCACAATGTGGACATACAAGTTTTCTTTCATGTAGGCTCCTTGCAAGCCCCAGATGTCTCTGCAGGCTGAGAAATTCAAAGACCCTCACAGCCAGCACTTCCCCAGCACTGGTGCCAACAGCGGGAGTTCCCTGGGATCCAGCCTCAGTTTCCCCTCTGTCTCTCAGGCTCGCACACCTGAGCAAGCCCCTCCCTGCTTTGAAGAGACAGTGCTGGCTGGGCCCCTGCCCCATGCCTGACCCTCACTCTGGAAGCTTCTGGGTTCAGCCACCTCCATCCTCCCTCTTCCTCTGAAACGTCAGACCTGGCACTGCCCCCCCGCAGCCCCCTCTCCCTGCGGCCCCCAGGGAGCCCAGGCTTTGCTCGAGGGCAGTGAGTGAAGCCGGCTGTAACAGAGAAACCTCGGGCTCCTCTTTAGAAGTCCCCGGAGGAGGCAGATCTGAGGAAAGGCTGCCTGCAGCAATGTCAGCTTGAGAACAACCGGGCTGACAGGATGCTGAGCGGGGATTAAGGTCGGGATCAGGGAAGCCGGGGAAATGAAGGCAAGTTCCCCGCATCCCTCGCTGCCACCTCCGAAGCTGACTGTGCTTCTGGGTTTGTCTTCTTGTTTGTTCTTGCTCTGGGAAAGTGGGTGGGGAGGGAAGCAGGCAGGGGCCAGGCAGGAGTGGGGGAAGGACAGGGGAGAGGTGGACAAGGGCAGGGAGCCCTGGAGAGTGAGCCTGCGCTCTGCGTCCCAAGGCCCAGCTAGGGGCGGGGCAGAAGCACAGGTGCCTTTACCTGGAACCTTCTCATATGCTGTCCCCATCAGGTGGCTAGTCTCTTGGACAGTGGGGCTCCCAGTCATCTCCCCTGGTCCCCTATCCCCAGGTCCTGAGTGTGGGTGGTGGGATCAGTGAGGATAGAATTGACCTCACCATGAGGCACTCCACACCAATGAAGTGGGTGCCATACACCATCAGAAAGGGGAGGAGCCTGTTTCCACCTGTCTGCAAATGCAAGATCCCTGTTGTAGGGCAAGGCCCTGTACCAACCTGCCTTCTCACTGAAACGTCACAGGAACCCAATCAAATGGGCTACTGATTTCTAGGTCATCCAATGCAGCAAATTCTAGTGAGACCTCAAACCCTTGCATGGTGTCATGGTAAAGAATGTCTTGGCTTCTGGTTTCAGTCTGTGTGGGCTGGAATTTTGGTTCTGTCATTGACTTGCTGTGTTACCTTGGGCAAGGTGGCTAGCCTTTCTGTGCCTTGGATAAGACTATAGCATCTTCTTATAAGGTTGGTGAGCAGAGGAAGGGAGTGAACACATGAAACTGCATGGAGTAGAGCCGGCCACAGAGGTCATGTGCCATAGGCTGGTGTATTATCATAGGGGCAGAGGGAAGGAAGAATCATGGCAACCAGAAGTCAATTGCTTGAAGTCTTCCTGGAGGAAGGGAGGGTGGAAATCTAACTTTGGTGGCTAAAACTTGGCAGGGGTGGGGGAGTAGAGTAGGGGTGAAGGACAGCACTCTTGTTTACCAAGTGTGATTTAAGCCTGCATCTGATGAGAGGTGGAGAGGGTGCATTCCCAAGGAGCCCCACCCCCAGCCTGTATTTCTCCACAGTTCCTGCTCTAAGTAGAGGTATCATGACTACTCTCTCCTAGCTCTTCCAAGGGCCAGTTGAGATGCAAAGACCATGATAAGACACTGATTTTCAAAGTTCCCTTCCCCAAATGGGGCTTATTCCAGAAATCCTTGCAATTCAGACTCTAGTTGCACCTGGGCTCTCTGGACCTGGTGAGGAAGGGGCAGGTATAGAGAGTACAAACCTAGAGGCAGAGAGTCCCTGGGGTTGGGTTGTAGCTCTACCATCCACAGCTGTTGGAGCAAGTCAATTTGCCCTTTTGGACTCAGTTGCCCAATCTGTGAAATGGAATAATAATGTCCACCTTGGATTTGCAGTGTTGGGCAGTTACTTAATACACGCCCAAGGCTGTTCTTCAATTTGGTGGTTATTGAGTTCTAGCCAGATACCAGGTCCTAATGAATGTGCCCCTTACCTGGCCCTCAAGGAGCTGGTGGTCTATACCAAGTGTGAGTATGCGGCTGAAGGTAGCAGCACTACCCGAAAGGTTAACCCAGGAACCAGGCGTCTCCCCCGTCTAGGCCCCATGGTCTGCTTACCTGTCTACCTGCAGTCCTTCCTGGGGTCCTCAACTCCCCACCCTTCTCCAGACATACTGGCCAATGGGTTGGGATGGGGAGAGGGTCTGGGGAGGCTGAGGGCCTAGGATGGGGTTCTAGGAGAAGGGTCTTTGAGTCTGTTTTTTTTTGGTGGGAAAATCCTGCACAGGGGTCCAGTCTCTGCAGAAATGTGCAGGGAGTATCTTGCTAGGAATTTTTTATCTCCGGAGGACTGATTTCTAGAGAAGCTAATTTTAAAAACACCTCTTCTTTTTTTCCCTGTTAATCAGCCACGTGTATTTATTACAGAAAATTTGGAAGATATAGAAAAGTCTAAGGAAAGAAAGATCAGCCTTAATCTGATCACTCAGAGATAAACCTGGTAAGATTTTCCTTTTTCTGCTGTTTTTTTTTTTCAAGTTCACCCTCACACATATGCTCATGCTTATATATGTAACTTTATTGCAGCAGAATATGCTTAATGTACATGTATCATGAACATTTTAGAAATCTGATCATGGAGGAATGAACATATCACAATTTTGTAAACAATTTTTTTTTCATTAAATAATACTCAAGAACTTCCTCTCAGACCATTAAATATTCTTCTCAACATAATCCTTTTTGGGGGGTGTGGAGGTAGGGGGTACTGGGGATTGAACCTAGAATGGCTCTACCCTTGAACTACCATTCCCAGGCCTTTAAAAGTTTTATTTTGAGCTGTGTGCAGTGGTACATGCCTGTAATCCCAGTGGCTCAGGAGGCTGAAGCAGGAGGATAAAAACTAGCCTCAGCAATTTAGCAAAGCCCTAAGCAACTCAGTGAGACCCTGTCTCTTTTTCTTTTTCTTTCTTTTCTTTTTTTTTTTTTTTTTTTGGTACTGAGGATTGAATTTAGGAGCACTCAACCACTGAGCCGCACCCCTAGCCCTATTTTGTATTTTATTTAGAGACAGGGTCTCACTGAGTTGCTTAGCACCTCACTGTTGCTGAGGCTGGCTTTGAACTTGTGATCCTCCTGTCTCAGCCTCTGGAGCCACTGAGATTAAAGGTATATACCACCACACCCAGCCTGAGACCCTGTCTCTAAATAAAATATAAAAAAGGGCTGGGGATATGGCTCAGTGGTAAAGCACTCCTGAGTTCAATCTCCAGTATCCAAAAAAAAAAAAAA